TCATAAAAATGATAAAATTTAGTTTTCTCATTTTCTAAAATATATCACAAACGATTAGCAATAGCGATAAATTGTATGCGATGTACTGGAGGGGCGATAACAAACAAGAGTGGCGGGGCAATACATTTTATTCGGTGTATTGGCGGGGCGATAACAAACAAGTACCGAATATTTTTTTACTTATCTTAAGAAATACATTTTTTTTGAAGTATACATTTTCAATTTCAGAGTTCAATGAATTTATAGTCATGGCATCTGGGGTCACCATTGCTATCCAAGAAGAATGTAGGTGGAGTATACATAATTCCAAGACATTGATAAATTTATACGGTAAATATAGGGAAAAAGTTGGAACAATGAAAATTAGAAGTTTAAAACAAATGTGGGCAATAATTTCCGACGAAATGACTCAAACATATAAAATGAAAATTAATCCGAATAACTGTGAAAATCGATGGCGCGTTTTAGAAAGAAATTATAAAAAGTATGTCGAAAACAAAAATAGTACAGGACGAGGAAAGAAATATTTCGAATTCAGTGAAGAAATGGACCAGATATTTGCACATAAAAAAAATGTCCACCCTGAAATTGTACTATCTTCTGAGGAGGTTCGTGATGTTCTTAATTTTTCCGAACAAGATGTTTGTCCAACTCAAGGACCTTCTGGTCCATCAACCTCAAAAAAGGACACAAATGAAAACATTATTATTTATCAAGAACAAGTTACTAAAAAAAAAAAATTAAGAAAGAAAATTAGCACAATTGAAAAAATTAGACAAGATAGATTAAATTACCAACAAAAAAGATTAGAATTAGAAAATAAAAACTACAACTACTTAAAAATAGGAATGAGCTCATTAAGGAAAGGAATGTGATATTGCAATCACAACGTTGTTGCAAAAAAAACAATATTTCATATGACTACTCAATTGTTGGATGCGATAAGACTGCAGTAATGGAAAGCGATGATCACGATATTATTTTTCAGATGTAATTAAAGCATACATTAAAAAGTTGTACAGTGTGTGAATATTTTTATGAAAAAGTTAAGATTTAATTTTGTTATGTTTTAAAATTTAAATCTATTGTACTATACATAAATAANAATTTAATTTTGTTATGTTTTAAAATTTAAATCTATTGTACTATACATAAATAAGTTGTACTATTTATATTTGCCTGTGATTATTATTATGAAAATGTGGGACTGAAATTTAATTTTGTAATGTTTTAAAATTTAAATCTATTGTACTATACATAAGTAAATACACAACTTTTAACTTACCTGTGGTACAGCTTGTATTTGTGCATTTGATGCAGAGAAATCTTCTGAAATTTCTTCGAGGAATTCATCATCAATGGCAATGTTGTGTAACACACAACACGCTCGCATAAAATGAACAATTTTAGTGATGTTTCTGAATTTTAAGTGATACAACTGTCTAAATTTTTGCTTCAAAATTCCAAAGCAGTGTTCAATGCGATATCTGTTTTGGCTCAACTTTAAATTATAATTAAATTGCTTCCTTGTTAACTGCCCTCGGTCCTTGAATAGGGTCATCAATCGCGTTTGTAACGGATACCCACTGTCACCGAGCAAGAAATATGGACCGCATTTTTCTTCCTTAGTATTGCAGACTGGTGAATTCCTGAATACCCTGCTATCGTGTACGGACCCAGGATAACCGGCAAAAAAAATCAATGATTTTGCGGTTGTGGTCACAGACAACCTGCATCTGTATTGAATAATATCCCTTTCTATTTATGTAYGAATCTGGATCATTATCAGGTTTATCTATCTTGATATGGCAACCATCGATAGCCCCTATAGCCATAGGAAATCCATTAGCTCTGAATGAAATCTCTGATTCTCGTTTTTCTTCATCGTTAGGCCATTTGATTATTTGTGGTGAATAGTTGCTCAAAAAGTATGTAAGCCGTTCAATAATTCTATGCAGAGAACTTAGTGTAATATTGAAACGGTCTGCAACATCACGGAAGCTTGCAGTTTGGTGCCCAACAAACCACATAAATATAAGGACCTAAAATCAATAAATGGTAAAGTGGTAGGTGCATTGTGTGAACTGTTAATATTATATTAAATGCTAGCTTATACCATTGAGTATATCTTTGGTCCCAGGTAAAAAGGGCTTAAGTCAATTTTTCACAAAAATGTTTTTTTTCCGTAGATTTAAAGCTTGATTTTTGCTGATTTTTTTGGTCCAAAATAAATCAGTGATGATTGTTACTGACATTATTAAATAAATAAATAGGGTATATGTGGAGTTTTTCTATTTTAAGTTTGGTAGAAAAGGCATAACATAACTTATACTCTAACCAGGTATAAAAGACTTAATAAATAATATGAAGTTCATATTATGAACCATTTAAAACATTAAATTTAAGGAGAAGGAGACCAAGAAATTTAGAATTGATGTTAGAATAAGCATATGATGAGATATTACCTATATCGAAAGAAAAGAAAAAATACTTTAATAGATCTTCTTCCTCTGATATTTATCATGATTTCTACTAAAATTTAAAAAACAATGGAAGTGAAGACCCATCATATAACCCAGATCCCAGTGAATCTGATTAAATATAATTAAATTATGTTAAATAAAACTAAAAGGAAAATTATTTTTTAATAATTCTTATGTTACAAAAGTTAAAATCTATTTTTAATTTTTTTATTTTTATGTTTCAAGACTAATTTGTTATAAACTTTAATTCTTATATCAAAATATATATTGTACTATTTAATAAAATTGTATTTTAGAGTAAATATTAATTTGTAATTAAATTTGATAAGTTTTGATCAAAATCATATGTCATAATTTATTTGATCAAAAAGGCTTGTCGTAAAAACAAAGAGTCAGAATAAGTGAAATCCAAATTAAGTAATTAGTTAAGTCTATAAATAATTACAAATTTAAGAATTTCAGGTCATAAATGTACACAGAATTCGATTAATATACATAAATGATTTCTATAATATTTGTGGTTGTGATACTAATATGTGTAGGGAATTTCCAAACTTTCAAATGACTGAGCTGAAAAGTTGATTAAATTAAGCCCTTTCTACCTGGGACTAAAGATATATTATAATCAATGCTCAAATWGGTACAATGTACATAAACTGAACTAAAACACTACCAACCTGGTCATCCGCAGGTATTTTACCAAATTGGCCATGTCTGTTTWTTTTWAAATAATTACTTTCTCTGTACAAATCAGTAATCCTTGTTGTCAAATGAYGACTAATCCTGAAATGCCCAAAATATGTTTCACAATCATATTGTTGGACAGTTTCTTCTAAACAAAAAAAAAGTAAATTAATCGTTAATAAAACAGAAGCCCGTTAACATCTACTCACCTATAAAACGTTCGTTTTTTATTTTATGGTTATTAATTAAGTCCAATCCGTCGTCAGAGGAAGAACTGGATGCAAAAAAGTCATCTGAATCGTCAATATCGCTCATTTTTAATGCAATTAACAGCAACCACAGACAAGTTTACTAAGCAAAATGTAAACCATAGAAAAAAGATCTAGTAAACAGTAAACTAAGCTGTATTTACAGCAAACGCCAACCACAGTAATGAATGCCGGTGAGACCGTAAGGTAGGCACTAGGCAGGATCGCAGGAATGCAGGATATGGTTATCACCTTGTGGCTGCTGGGTCTTCAGTTTTGTATTCATGCTCGGGAACAGCGACCCTACTACCAGTATTACGGCACCATACTTTTTATTTTAAATTTGGGCACACTGTAAGCGCAGTCCATCAGTATTCAGTCAATATAATTATTAAATAAAATGAAGTTATATTATATAAATTAAACCGTATATGACCTTTATATTAATTTTGTAATATTTATACTATTACCTACACTCAAATATTATATTATCTTACCTGTTTGTTGCAATTCATCTGCAATGTATTTCCATACCTTTTCTTTCCATGTACCGTCACTATAATTTGGGCTACTTAGGTCATATATCCCGACATGAAGTTTTACGAGCTCAATTAATTTTTCGCTGTCCATTATGACAGATAGATCCTCTGATGAGTGGAATGAAAATGATGAAAATATATCAGTTGCATATCGTAAACATGAAATGTGATCGGACGCTTGTTCAGACATGTCCGATACGGCACCGTTCCGTGCCCAAACTTGTCCGAGCTCGGACAGAAAATCGGTCAGCGACAGTATTTTTTTGTTCGGAGAGAGCTCGGAAAGCTCGGAACGGACTCTGAACGGACGTGTGTGAATATATCCATTTAAAAACAAGAAGTTCATATTTCCGAGTAAACGGATGCCATGACGGAACGGACCCGGATCGGATTCGGATCGGACGTGTGTGAAAGGACCTTTAGTGTTTACCGTCCGACGTCCGTACTCCGTGTAAACAAGAATAATTCAATAAGAAATATAACGAATATTACGAATGAATAATAAAATATAAACAGCATCTAATAATTAACTATAATCATTATCAGTTTATTTAGATTATAAATATAAAATTTCATTGTATAATTTGGTAGACCCGCGCAAACATGCAACACTTATAATTATTGTTTCATTTTTATTTAATATTATTTGTTTTTTTTATTTAAAAATAGATAACCTTCGGCGGCAGCAATGCCATTAGGAAGACATATATTATTTGTTATATTCAACTAAAATACCTATACCTATTTATTTTTTTGTTTTGAAATGTTATGCTTGGTTATTCGATTATTTATTCTTCGTTAAAAATAATCGATTAATAAAAATAATCGCACAGCCCTAGTTCACGGTCGACGTGCGGCGGCGTTTACCCGCCGACCGCTTGCCGCGTGTCGTCTAAGGACCACGAGCACCGGGCGGACTCCCGTTCCCACCGAAGTCGGGAGAGACCTCTTAAAATAACATACAATTTTGAAAAATATCCATGAAAAAAATAAAAATAGGTTACAATTGATACTGTGAAAATTATGACTAAACAATCCAAAAATAATCATAATTTTAAAAGAATTGAAATTGTATTAGATATTATTCTAATTACCTACAAAAATCACAAAAGTACTAAGAACTATGTTAATCAGTAATATGTTACATTCACATTGTTCATTATCAGAATAGAATTAGTTCATTCTATGTTTTTTTAAATCACTTAAGACTTACAAATACAGCTTGGTAGTAATAAAGTGTGCCTAATTCACTGCCTATGTAATTGCTTCGTTTAAAGTTATATTTTAGATGCCACAGCTTCAACAAAAGCATCTTGGCCATAAATCCCATAGTTGAAATGGATGGTGACGAAATGACTAGAATTATGTGGGAAAAAATAAAAGAAACATTTATCTTTCCTTAAGTCAAAGTTTATTATTTGATTTTTTTTTATGTGTGTCAAGTGTTTGTAATTCATTTTAACTCTTTTTTAACTTTAATTGCTTGTGCTACAATCTCGATTCACCCCATAGAGATGTGACTGATTTGATATTTGATCAAGTAAATATGATGCTACAGAAGCTACATTAAAATACAAAGTGGGCATTAAATGTACAACGATTATTTAACCAACAAAGCTCGTGTTGAAGTAAAAAAATTCTTAATATTGTTACCTATTCAATTTTATAACACTGATATTTAATTAAGTACTTGTATTTTATAAATTTCAAATTGAAAGAAATGTATCTCAATTCTTATGATACAATATGTAATATTCTTGGCAATAATTGGAATAACCAATTATATGTAAAACTTCCTAGATTGGTATTTTACAACTAATAAATTTAATTTATAATATTGTATATTGTATATAATATAAATTTACTTTAAAATAATTGTAATGCATTAACCTAGTAAAATGTGATTTTATTTGAATAAGTGTTTTTTTAATTACTTACTTGAAATGAAAATATTATTTGATTTAAAGTCCCCTTCCCCCACCACCGAAAATTTGTTCCAGCTACGGCCCTGCTAAGACATGTGCATGGTGAATAATACAAAGCTACTGATCAGGCCTGGCCTAGAAAATAATTAATTGATAATTTGAAATTTTGGCTATCTAGGTACTGATATTTGATGCACAGTGATACACACATATTATACTAATGTATTTTGCTCAACTATATTAATAATAAAAATAAAGTATGTGTTCTACAATACACATTTTTTTTTAAATTAAGTGATTTTACATAAAATAAATAATTGATACAATTAAAATAATCAAGGCCACCCTCGACAAAATAATACATTTATCATAAATTGGTACCAAAAATTACGAAGTCCTCATATGGAAGGATATGCTAAGGACTTTGATTCTAAATTATTAAATTATTTTGTTGAAATCTTTGACCAAATTTTTTTTTTTTTTTCGTGTCAGGCGCATAGTGTAACAGTAATAATAATAATGATATAAGTTGTATAGCATAAAAT